CAGAGAATGTTGTGTGGAACACACTTAGAATTAGTGGTTGCCACTCTAGACTGGGGACAAGTTTTGTCGCCATTAGACAATTTCTCCATGACACACATCACCAGTTTTCAGAAGAGAGATAACATCAGCAGAGTTTCCTCAAAGTGTTTGACCTCAAAACCCTTTTTTTGAGTCAGTTTCCTCAACATATGTGACTTGGAACACATTTGGGGAAAGGCTTTATTGGAACAAGTGTTTGGGGGAACACTAGGATCTCAAAGATGACAAGTGAAGATGGGAGAGGTGACCTCACACGGGAATAAACATTCGGTTTTATTTTCATCCTGGAGGCACGAAGGTTTGGGATAATTCACTGACATGCTGTAAATATGCCTGCATTTCCCCCCCAGGAAAAGGAGGCTAAGGTTGTGTGGATGTCTTCGACCTCATTTCAGAGACGCATTAAGATCAAGAGAAACGTTTTCCTTTTAATTAGTTTGAACAAAATTTTGCTGACTGGGGCCTCTAGGCAGCTGGTCCTGAACATTCCTTCTTTGTTAAGAAATCCAGACTCGTGCTCCCTTTTTCAGCTGAAAAAATTTACATGCACAGATGGCTTGTTTCTCAGTTCAAAATCCCAGAACTTTTTGTAAAAATTAGTATCAGAATTTTTCAAATGTACACACAAAAAAGAACAGTTTCATAGGCATCCAATTCTCAGTCACTCAGCTCCATTCTATTAAAGTTCTCGTCCTTTTATGTGCTGAGTTAGTGAACTTGCCAGGTCTTCTTGACTTGTGGGATCTGGGGCCATCCCACTGGTTTCATTCCGTAGGTCTTCCTGTTAACTCTACATTTATTGACGGATGGACCCTTGTGTTTCACAAAGAACTTTTATCTCTAGCTCTCTCTTTTAAAACGCTCCTGAAACAGTGCTTTTCGCCCAGGTGGTCTTTTGTAGCTTCTAGCTATTGCCATGTCCTCCATTATTTATTACGCCCCATCTCCCTGAACATTTTCTACATTTTCTGGAAAGCCTTCCAGCTTCTTCCATTTAAAGACATTCACTCAAGTTTGGCCCTAATGCGAGAGGAGTTTAGACACAGCCTCCTGCCGTGGAATTGGGTTTGCTCTGGCATCGCCTGGACTGGGGTTAGCCTGAGGGCCCGGGAGCGACGGGTGTTGAGCTGAAGACACAGAAGGATGAGAAGCCGAGAGCTGTTTTGCTCACCTCTTTTATTCTCTCTTTATTAGAAACTCTCCAAAAGTAGGAGAATTTGGCAGTTTGTATTTGTCGTGAGCATCCGCTGTGCTGTCTGCCCAGCTGTTCCTTCTTTCCTGGGGCCACGCTGTCTCCCTGCCCATCCTGAGGCCGTGATGGGGCTGCCAGGCTCAGGGCTTCCCTGACGGCTACCCATGTGGCCACAACCGGGCCTTGGACTCCCACAGAGACCCACGGCGTGGACGCATGGCTCTTGCTGGGCCACCTGGAAACTTCCATGAGACTGGATGTCCAGACACTACATCAAGAGCTCCTTTTCCCTGAATTACAAGCAAACAGTTTCAGAGCTACTGGTGGCTGTTTCCTGACATGTACAAAAAGCTCATCCCGGTGGATGAGAATTAAGCCAAAGCACAGAGAAAAGCTAGTTGGGATGTGGAGAGAGAGACAGACGGACACAGGCAGAGACAGACAGAGCTGTTAAGTTCCTCCGAGCCCCAAATCCACTTGCGCTCAAGGCAAGGGATGCTCTAAGCTTTCTCAGTATCGTGAGCCAGGAGCTCTGTTTTGTTTTGTCTGCTTAAGCAGCTTGTTGGATTTCAGTCTCCTGCGCCCTGAACAACAGAGCTGAGGGCTGCATTGTTTTTTCTTTTAATGATTGAAGTATAGTTGATTCACAGTGTTAGTTTCAGGTGTGCAACACAGCGACTCAGCATTTTTGCAGATTGCACTCCATTGTAAGTTGTTACAAGACAATGGGTATAATTCCTTGCCGCTTCTCTATTTTACACACAGTGCTTTGGGTTTGTTCCAGAGAGCTGCGTTCTTAAAGGGCAGGTGAGCAGAGGAGAGCAGCTTGGTGAGGATGCCAGGCCAGTACCCGCTTCCCCCCCGGGCTGCGAGCTGCAGGAACAGGGTGAAGCCAGGTGGGTCACGTTGTTGCTGCCTGAGGGTGGCTTGGGCCACAGCACAAAACTACCAGCAGTGCTCGTGTCCTTCACAAGACAAAGCAAAACAAAGCCCCGTTTCTCTTAAGCATGTCCTGATGAAGAGTAGTAAAAATTATTAATTTGATTAATCTTGACCCCCCCCCCGCCCCCGAGTAGACATCTTTGTAATACCTCTGGGGCAAAGCAGGAAGCATCTCTACTGTTCGCCAAAGTTCCCTGGTTGTTTTGAGGGAAAAAGCTCTTGTATGATTGAGCTGCAAGCTGAGCTTGCCACCAAATAACTATGGTTATTCCAACCAGGGTGTTTGGCAGACATTTTCCCCAAAATGAACTGAGCCTTTTATATATATATATATATTTGGCTGCACTGGGTCTTCGTTGCTGTGTGCAGCCTTTCTCTAGTTACGGCAAGCGGGGGCGGGGGCTACTCTTCGTTGCGGTGCACGGGCTTCTCACTGCGGTGGCTTCTTTTGTTGCGGAGCACGGGCTCTAGGTGCACGGGCTTTAGTAGTTGTGGCGTGTGGGCTCAGTAGTCGTGGCGCAGGGGCTTAGTTGCTCCACGGCATGTGGGATCTTCCCAGACCAGGGATCCAGCCCATGTCCCTTGCATAGGCAGGCAGATTCTTAACCACTGCACCACCATGGAAGTCCCGAGCCAGTCTTTTCAGAAATCAACTGACAGGACTTCCCTGGCGGTCCGGTGGTTAAGACTATGTGCTTCCAATGCAAGGGGCGTGGGTTTGATCCCTGGTCGGGGAACTAAAATCCCACAAGCTGCACCGTGAGGCCAAAAAAATTAAAAAAAAAAAAAAAAAAGGATATTTACACTGAAAAATGGACGTATGCAGGAGAAAGGTGCTTGGAGAAAGGAAGAGGAAGGAAGGAAGGTGGGACAACTGCGTGTCAAAGCCCTGGCAGCGAGGAGGGGCGGGAGATGCAGGCGGAGGCCCGGGCACGCGGAGGGCAGAGAACAAGAGGGAGAGGTGGTCAGGCGCCAGCCACACGGGCCGTGGAGCCAGGGCAGAGTTAGCAAGTAGGGTTAAAGTCGAGCAGTGACATGATCTGGTTTGTGTTTTTAAATATATGCTCTGCATAGGACGGACTGCAGTGGGGCAGAGATGGAAGCAGGCGGTTGATTCCAGTTGTCAGCACCTCCATCAGGCAAGACGACAGGCAGGAGGAGGGGGACGCAGGGATGTGAGGGGATTTGTGGTGTGTTTGGAAGCTCAAATCCACAGGATTCGCTGTAGGTAGGACTGAACGTTGAGAGTGAGGGAGAGGAAATAGGAAAACCCCGAGGCTTTTGGATCAAGGCACTGGGTGGTTGGAGCTGCTGTTTACAGAGTTGGCAAAGGATAGAGACAGGCATGTTTGGATGTGCGGAACTCGAGAGTTCGGTTTGGCCACGTTAGTTTTGCGGTACTTATTAGCCCTGGGGCACTCCACAATGTTGTGGGCATGCTGAGAGGAGCCACAACTGGGGGCGGGCGAAAGGAGCAGGCTGAAGGAACAGGGAGTGGCAGCTGTGATGAACTGGCTGATAAGAAAAGAGGCTGTGGTTGGATCTGGGAACCTGAGGGAGTGGTGAGAAGGGTGAGGAGGGAAGGAGAGAGCAGTGAGGGGCAGAAAAAAAGTGGGCAGTGATGGCTCACGTGGAACCCTGAAGGATGAGCAGTAATTGTCAAGTGAGGCGCTGGAGAGGCAGGCTCTCTAAGAAGGATGTGGGCACACACGTGCCCACACGTTGCATCCTGTGTTTGCAGTCAGGGTGCAACGGAACCGAACTGAAATAAAAGTGTGCTCTTCACACAGTATTTCTGGAGGTTCTAGAGTCAGCTGTATGCTTTGGGGATGTACTGTCTGAGAGCAGTCCAGCCTAAGTCCCACACGTGTTCTGGTTACTTGATTCCCTGTTAAAGACACTGGGGTGAATGGCTGAGATAAGCTGATCTCTTTGATTGATCGATTTGAAGAGATAAACCTAGGCTGATTGAGCAGCTGGATTTTTTCCCCCCTTGTCAGCTAAACTAATTAGAAATTCAAGGATTGGGAAGCTTGTATTTATTCTAGGACATGACATTATATAGGGAAAGGAGATGAGATGAAAAAGGGAAAAAGGAAGCAATTTAAAATTATAGGGTGGTATTGCAGACTGCTGATATTGTAAACACGGTGGGGGGGGGGACGGAGAGTACAATATCCCACCCTGAATGATGCCGGGGGTCCTCTGTGGTGACTTGATCTGGCTTCAAGCCACAGCTGTGCACCATCTCAGCGGCACGGGCTTAACAAAAATCACTCTTTTTTTTTTTTGGCATTTGCTTTCTTCGCTGTAAAATACAAACTAATCTCGGTATAAATTGCTTCACAAGATGGCGTCTGGATGTTCAAGGAGACTCTAACCCTCACCCCGCGAGGCATGTGCGCGGTGCTCGAGGGCGCTGAATTTTACCCGATCCCGCGCACCGGGTACACAGAGCCGGCCAAGCAGCCCCTCCCCCGGACGACTGAGTTCACGCAGGGCCGGGCCACACTCGGCCTCCTGCACGAGGAGCTGATTGACAGCCACGGGTGGGCGCTTGGCCCGGCTCAGGCTCGGCTCCGGGTGGTCACCGGGCCTGAGCCGAGCCGGCAGACAGCCCTCGGGGGACACCTGCCCCGCGCTCGGAGCCCATCCGCCGGCCCGCGGGAAGGAATCCCTCGGCCCGGGGCCTTCGGAGCGCGTCCTGCCCGCTTTCCTTTCCCGCGCCGCCCTCCCTCCCTCCCTCCCGGCGGCTCCCGGGGGAGGGGTCGGAGGGGAGGGGCGGCCCGCGCGGGTCCCGGGTGCAGGTCCCCGGCTCAGACCGGCCCGAGCAGGTCCGGGGTCAGGCGGCGACGCTGCCCCAGGGCCCGGCCATGGTGCAGGCCTGGTACATGGACAAGTCGGCCGACGACCCGCGGCGGCCCCACCGCGGGGAGCCCGCGCGCCCGGTCGGCCTGGAGCAGCTGCGCGGGCTCGGGGTCCTTTACTGGCAGGTACGCGGGACCGGGGG